AGTAGGAGTCAGTAGCAGCAGCAGCAGCAGCAGCAGCAGCAGGAGGAGGAGGAGGAGTAGTAGTAGTAGGAGTCAGTAGCAGCAGCAGCAGCAGCAGCAGCAGCAGTAGTAGTAGGAGTAGTAGTACTAGTAGTAGTAGTAGTAGTAGTAGTACTACTACTACTACTAGTAGTAGTAGTAGTAGTAGCAGCAGCAGCAATAGTAGCAGCAGTAGCAATAGTGATAGGGAATAGAGCCAACAACAATAAAACTAGTAGTAACAGAAATAATAGTAATAGTAACAGAAATAGTACTAGTAATAGGAATAGCAGCAGCAATAGTAATAGCAGCAATGGTACTAGCACTAGTCATGGTAATGGCAATAGTAACAGTAGTAATGCTAGGAATAGTCATCGGAACAGCAATACTAATATTAATAGTAATAATACTAGCAATGGTAGTCGTTGTTGTAGTTGTAGAGGCAGTAGTACTAGTTCTTGTGGTAACAACAGAATAGTACGACTGTTGATGACAAAATCCTGCGTTGCCTTAAGGACCCTAAACTCTGGGAATTGTGGTATATGCTTTATTATGGGTAATGCAGGATTTATATCGTGCTAGTTCCAGTTCTGGTAATGGTGACAGAAATAGCAATAGCAATAGAGTAGCAATAGCAATAGGAATAGGCGGAATAGGAATAACAATCGTGATAGCAATAGTAGTAGTCATTTAAATGTTAGAACAATAATACGAATAACACAAGTACTATTGAGAATAATAAGAAAAACAACAATAAAAATATTCAATAAAAGTCTTAAATCTAAACTGACCAAGAATCGTCGGAGCCGTAGTAGTGCGAGTGCGAGACATGGACGTGATGCACGGTTGGGACGGATACCGCAACTTCACGGTGGCTGTGCCCGGCCTGGGTAGGGTGGGTGTAGGGCGTATTTAGGGATTAGGGTGTAGGGTGTAAGAGTTAGGTATTAGGTAAGGTTTAGGGATTAGGGTGTATTTTGGATTTAGGGTGTAAGGCTTAGGGTTGTGACAAGGGTTTAGGGTGTATTTAGATTTAGAGCTTAGGGTTTAGGGTTGGTTCAGGGTGGTTTTAGGGTTTAGGATTGAGGGTGTAAGGTTTAGGATTTGTGGTGTAGGGTTAACCGTTTAGGGTTTAGGCCCAATCGCTCAATCTTCGCATTCCATACCCTCTACGCATCAAACCCTCTGAACTGGACGATCTGTCGTGTTGGTGGGGCACCTCTAGCCCTCAACCCTAAACCCTAGGCCCTAAACCCTAAACCCTAAACAGTGCTCTTTGTAAAAAAAAAACTCCGGTACTTTCCTGGGTTTCAGCGGGCCTACACGCTGGATCTCCTCATCTCCAGCCCTCTTGAAGTTTAAGGGAGAGAGTTCATGGCTTAGGGCCTTTACGGTTTAGGGTTCAGGGTTTAGGGTTTTGGGTTTAGGATTTAGGGTTTAGGGTTCAGGGTTGTGGAGCTCAAAGTGTAGGCTTGCTTGATTAGGGTTTAGGGTTTATGGTGTAGGGTTTAGGGATCTTTTGCTGTTGCCACGGGCTCCTGGGAGTGGGCCACATCTTGGAAGAGGGAAGAATCCCTTACACAGGTAGGTTGCATTTTTCACGTTGGGTTTAGGGCCTAGGGTCTGCAAAAAGGTCCAAGGGCTTATGGTCTAGGACCGTAGATTGTCGAGTCCAGCCAAACGCGGGGTTGTCTGGTTATGAACGGCTCTGCCTGACTGCAGAGGAATACACGGCTGCCTATCAGATTGTTTTTGTTTGTATCTGCCTGCATACAAAATGACATGGATGTGTGCACACGATTCGAGACTACCCTAAACGCCAAACCCTAATAGATATTTGCTTGGTGGGCGGGATCTTCGAAACTGTTGTCTCTGCTGGGTCCTGGGCCCACGACTTGTGAGAGTTACTGGTCTCATGGGTGGTGTCATGACCATCGCCTCAATATTGACGCAGCAATCTTGGTCGCCGTCCGTTTCGCTTCTGCTGGTATATATGACAATCGTTGGGACGGATGCCATTCCTGAGGACCTCCGCCACATGCCTCCTGTTATCACTCGTCTGTTTGGCTCGGCGTGGCTTGGGTTTGGTGGCCTCCGTCTCGTGTCAACATGTCCTCCTTTCGTGTGGAGGGCCAGTTACTGCTTTGCCCGCTTGTGTTTCTGTGAACCTTCTTCTGTTCTTGGCTCCTGTCTCTGCTTGTTGAACCTGTGTTTTGTATTGTCGATTCTTGGCTCTGCTTTGTGTTCAGCACGCCGCTGATACCACCTTTAGCCCTAAAGTGCAGATTGTGAATCGCGAGATCGAAGCAACTTTGCGAATGCTTCTATTTGTGTCAGAAAGGCGCCTGCATAATAAGAACAGGATTTCGGGATGTATTATTTATATATATATATATATGTATATATACATATATATGTATATATATATAAGATTAAGTATGTTTAGGAAGGAACCCTAAGGAATGATACTTGCAATCACTTCGGCTTCTATACTCGGACCTAAAATCCAGACTCTACCGTAAACTCGGCTCAGTCTAACTTTGCCGAAGCAAAGGCACATGACCCATTACATCTCAAAGATGCAGCACCGCTAGCGGGCAAGCCCCATACTTGAGTTGCATTTTGTCCTTCCATTTCGGGGCTGCCTGCTCCCTTCCTTCCTTCCTTCCTTCTTTCCTGTCCTTCCTTCCTTCCTTCCTTCACAGATTCTGCGAAATCCTTGGAAGTCGCAGCACGTCCTAACACGTCCCATCCCATGAATTCTTCAGAAAATACCAATTTGAACACTCGCACCAAGACATAGAATAACAAGGCGCCTGATGCTAGTAAACAGCAACCACCAGTAGAGGGCTCGTCACAATGAGAATCATAGTCATACCATGCATGTTCATAGCTGAGACATGGCAATACCGTGAATAATGATACAAGTAGCAGCACAAATGCTAACAAGAAGATCCTAAACCCTAAACCCCTAGACCCTAGACCCTAAACCCTACAATCATCATCCCTCCCCCTTGCCCAAGATGTGCGAGTCCTCGTCATCGACGTAGCTCACGTGGCTCACGTGGCTCACGTGATACAGCTCCCTTCCTGGGGCCACCTCAGGGTGCTTAACATTACTCTCTACGATGAAGGTTCATGTTTAAGGGTTGAAGGGTCCTTAGGCTTCGGAGTACCTGAAAATGGCCCTTGCAATAAGGATTCTGCTATTTGGGACTACATTCGGGACTGTTTTTTCTGAAACTCACCTGAAACGCTTCGAGAACCTCCAAAAGACCTGACAAAAAGCCCTGACAAAGCCATTCAAAACGTTGACACCCTATAAACCCTCATCAAAGCCTAGTTGCTGAAACTCCCATCCTAAACCCCAAAACCCCAAAGGGGCCCTAAACCCTAAACCCTAAACCCTAAACCCCAAAACCCCGGGGTTTGGGGTTTCGGAAACTCCCTCCTCCTGCTGGACGGAGCCGAAGTTCAAGTAGGCGGCGAGGACGAGGCCACAGCCCAGGAGCCCCACGCTTACTCCCCCAATGACCTTCACGCCGAAGCCCGGAATGCTGGCCTCCTGGGGTTGAAGCTTCGCTTTTGTTGGTTTGGTTTGCTTTTTTCCTTTTTGTTTACGTGTGGTGTGGGGTTTAGGGTGTGGAGTGTGGGGTGTAAGGCTTAGGGTTCGGGGCTTTTCTGGAACTTGAGTCTTTGGGGGCGTTGTACTTCTTGAAGGGCGTTTTATTGGTATGTACATCAAGGTATACAAGCTTGTAGGCTGTTACAAGGGTTCTATGATTGGGGGTCTGTAGTTGGTACTATATGGGCCAGTAGATAGTTGTACCAGGGCTTTTCAAGGGTCTTTTCAGGGTTGTAGTGAATTTGGCTTAAGTTTCGGAGAAACAGGAATCAATACAGTTTCCTTACTATGGCAAGCAAAAATGGACTTCTGAAGCAAAACCCGGATTCTCTTTGGCTGGTCTGTGGAAGCAAGTGGCTCTCTTCCGACATGGCTTGTTGTTTATAGCAAGGTGCTCGCGAAGACTCGCCTCAAGCCGGAGAGGTTCTTGATCTCAAATGAGCTGCGGCCATTTCTTACTCACGTGTTCGGAATAGTGTGTTGAATGTGTTTTGACCTGCTGCCTGTCTCCGGGAAATCCCAAACTTCTGGGAAATCCCAAACTTGGAGGGTCAGTGACTTTGCAAGTCGGTGGTACTTTTGACTCTTTCAAACAACTACTTACTAAGTTCCCCCGACCCTCCAAGAAGCAGAGTTGACAGAAGACCTGCTGAGTCCGGATACCGGGGCCTTCATTAGAACAAGGATCTGGCGTATCTTGTACTATAGTTCTTGTACATACCCTAAGGAATAGTATTGGTAATTTATCAACCTCTCCCACGGCTGAAAACTTAGCCGCTTGTAGACAAATCGAGTCACTGCCCACGGCCCATCCTCTGAAGTTGGGACACCAGGCTCAATGCGAAGAAGCACCCTGCAGGAATGAACCGAAGCTTTCCGATGTGAAATTCCATAACTTTGAAAGCATCGTGAGTGTAGTCTCTGAAAGGACCCGATATGTGATCAAGGTAGTGTCATCCATACACGTAGCAGTAATCAGCTACCATCTGCGTCCACGCGTCTGTGACCTCCTAAGCTGACTGCTTCTTTGACTATCTGAGGAGCGGACTCGGCGATACACCATGAGCTCGATTGCCTCCACACATCCGACTCTGCCGGCTGCTGGTGGTGGTGGTGGTGGTGGTAACTGTAGTAGCAGTAGTAGTAATAGTAGTAGTAGTAGTAGTAGTAGCAGCAATAGTAAGTGGTAATCGCAGTAGCAGGAGTAACAGGAGTAGCCGGAGTAGCAGGAGTAGGAGGAGGAGGAGTAGTAGTTGTTGTTGTTCTAACGGGTTGGACAGCAACAGAACATTTTGCACCGGCACACTGCCAACTGTCACGGCATGTCGCGGCTCCACTGACGAACGATTACCTCATTGTTAGGGACGAGTCTGTAGGAGGAATCATTTCCGTGAAGCCGAGTTTGTTTGCCGGATAACAGCCTCCATGAGTGACTAAGTACTGGCCATCTACAGGAGCAGTGCCTCCGTTAGGATGCACACACAGGCCAGTCTTGTGCTTTAAAACAAAGTCGGCCCTCTCGGCTGCGAAGGTGAACAGGAGCCTGTCCTCATTGCCACACCCGTCATGAGCCACCAACTTGGTGTCGGTGTAGGCAAACCCCCCGTCAGGATGGATGCATCTACCATTCTGGAGTTGCAGGTTGAAGTAGGCGCTGCCGGCGCTGCCACTCCCATAGTACACTTTCTTGAAAAGCAGGGCTGTGGACGTGCTGCATGAGTCAGAGAACACCAGGTGGTCACCATTTGCGGGGTTTGTGCTTCCAGATTGCGCGCGAACACACTTCCCACTCCAGTGCTTCAACACGAACATCTCCTACGGCAGGCTTCTCAACAACTATTATCACTGTTCCTAAGGGTTCCTTGCTGTAGATACTGCTAGCTATGGCACGATACTAAACCCTAAACCCTAAACATCCCTAAACCCTAAATCCTAAACATCCCTAAACCCTAAACCCTAAACCAAAACCTGCTTCTCCTCTGGCACTCGGGGCAGGAGCTGCTGACTCTCCGCTGACTTCGTGGAGCCGCGCAGAGCCTGGATGGCCTTCAGCCGACTGTCCACGGACACGAAGGGTAACGCCGTCAGCACTAAAGTAAACCTGGACTGCGGCTTTTAGGGTTTAGGGTTTAGGGTTTAGGGTTTAGGGGTTTGAGTTACCATAAGAGTGATGGAGAGTACATACTGTGGTTTCCGTTTCCTTATTCTGGTAACTTACATTAAGTTCCGTAACAAGAACCCAGAAACTGATCCACGATGTTCACCAAGGTGACGCGCCTCAGTGGCGAGGTGAAAGGCCCGAAGCTGACTTGCATGAGCAGCTGCAAGTCATCAGTGGCGGTCAAGACGCCCTTGATGTTGAAGGAGACCAAACCCGGATTTCTGAAGCTGAAGAGCTCGAAGTCCCCGTTCGTCTGCATGAGGTCCAAATGTTCCCTGGCCTTGGCATCGCGGAGGTGCTCCGACAGATTCGTGCTCAGGTAGCTGTCATAAAACATCGAAGCCACCTGCAGCTCGTCCTCGGACCACCTGAAACTGAAGTCTCCCTCAGACGCAGATGCCAAGGCCTCTTCTGTGGATTCCTGCACCAGCTGCGCAGGTTGCACGGTGCGGTTGATGGGCTCCAGGGAGCGGTCGTCCTCGGCGCCGTGGGTGCCCGTGGCCTTCCCCAAAGGATTTCTCCACGTTTCGTGGGCCGAGTAGGTGTTGGCGTCGGTGAAGTCCGTGCCCGTGCCGAAGCGCTTCGTGAGGCGCATGGTGCGACTGAAGAGCTGGACTCCGGAGGACTTGATGACGGTCCGCAGGACGCTGAGATCCACTCCACTTGGCTGCTTGTCGGGCCGGCAGACCGTGGTCTCCAGGTCTGCCAAGGGAGCTGGGAGAAGGTCAAACTCCAAACCGCCCACGAAGGCCAAAACGGGTTGCGTGCTCATGGAATAGCCAACAGTGACGCACTTCTCGATGGCAGACTCCCAGGTGTAGAAGGAGTAGCCTTCCCACTTCTCGGGGTTGTCCGTCATCCAAGAGTTGTCACAGGGGACCGCCCATGGCTCCAACTGAATGAACTGATCCGCTTGCTCTACCTGCCAGTCTCGCTGTGTCACCTTGCTATTGCTTCCCCGGCGAGTTTTGGGTGCAAAGGCCAAGCAGGAACTTGTGTCCACCTCCTTGCCACCGAACTGAGTGATGAGTTTCGTGGCGTAGTTGTCCCCATTGTCACTGATCTCGAAGTTGATGGCGCCATCGCTGTCGTCATCATCATCACCACGAGAACGAGAGGTGTTCAGTTGCAGCTGGGCCTCCGCATCGCCACGGTGAAGTTTGCTCCTCTTGCTTCCCGGGTGGCGCTGGGTATGAGTTTTCACCACCAAATTCTTGGTGCTGTGATGGACACGGGCTGGCGCCCCCACTTCGGGGAACGAGGTCTTGATGGCTGATTGGACCAGGGACTGGCTGTCCGAGAGGACAGAGCTGATGACCGAGCCAGCCAAGTGCGCAAAGACCTCGACAAACTCGGTGAGCATGTCGCCCATCCCTCGGCTCTTGTTTCAGGAACTTGATTTAAGCTACCATACTAGGGATCAGGGTTTCCTTATTGTGGTAACTTAAACTGACGTCCTCAACCCGAACCCCTAGAATCCTTATAGAACCCTTCAAGGAACGCCAAACGGCACTAAACTATGGTACCCTAAGCCCTGCAAGCGGGTCCGGTAACGGGGACGATTTCCGGGCAAAATTAACACACTTCTGTGCCTGCAGATAATTGCCGATTCCGGCCTGCCTTCTTGGAAACCTAGCCTGCGCGAGGGATTCCTTGCTTTTTGCAATTACATCTACATGACATGCTTGCTTTCTGTTTTGTGCTGCCACAAGCAAAACAGCGCAAAACCGGCTAAGCCCGTTTTGCGCACTGTTTCCTTGCTTTTGTGGTTTGGCTTTGCTGCTTTGTTTGGGGGGGTGGGGGGGCTGGGGGGATGGGGGGGTGGGGGGGTGGGGGGGGATGATGATGTTCATGTCCGCCCTTCTTTTTCAGCGACCGCCTCTGCCCAAGCGGTTCTCCAGTGAGAAGTACCATTCTCGGTACCTCTTCGTCCACAGCTCAGACACCGTCTCCGAGCTGACGAACTCAAAATGCCAGCACTCTTTGCTGGCCATGAGCTCTTTTCCAAAACTTGGAACACACATGTGCCCCGTGACCTGCCTTCCGGGACCCTTTCCCGAAGACATGCTGTTTGCGAGCAAGCCCGTGAATGGGGCAGGTCCCATACTGAAGCTTCTTAACAAAAGGAACGACGTTTCATGCTGGCGGAGATCCTCCAGATGAGCTTCCATCTCATCGAACCGCTCAGTCAGCCATGGCCCGAGGCCAGGTGGCAGAGGACGTCCAGCCCCAGAACAGAGCACAACGCCAAAGCGACATATGCCCCGTCAGGCAATTGAAGGCCAAAGTTGGAGTTGTTTATCTTCGTTTATCTAGCCCCTGTTATCCTGTCTCTGCCCTCGCCAGTGTCACTGATGGTGGCGACTTCTTTGTTTTCGCTGCCCATATCAAACGCCGTCAGATTTGTGACACACCAAAAGCATTTACATCACACCATATCACATTACATCACATCACCTCACATAGCATCACATAGCAGGGCATAGCAGTTCATAGCAAGGCATAGCAAAGCATGACATTGGCATAGCATATCACCGCTCTACAGACCAGAACAGGCACTACCTAGAAACATAACATAACATAACACTGCACAAACAAGAATGACTCCAGCAGCAATCTGAAAAATTTCAACTTAACCCTTCTGAAGCCTTTTTTGCCCTGAACCAAAAACACGAACTCCCGAAAAAACCGGGTCCAAACCACCCCCGTTAGTGAACCCGCTGGGTAAACCCTAAACCTTTAAACCCTAAAACACGTTTCTTAACAAGAGCCCAGATTCGGGTCAGGAAGGAGAGAGGCGGCACCACTTGCAGCAGCTTGTTCCCGAAGCAGCCGAAAACGTCGCCGACGCCCCCAGCCGTGACGCAGCCTGCCACCTCTTGGGGTTTAGGGTTTAGGCTTTAGGGTGTTTTTTAGTGTTTAGGGTTTAGGGTTGAGGGTTTAGGGTTTAGGGTTTAGCCACCTCACGGCCGATGTCAACGATGGCACGGATTGGAGCCAGGCCATGGCTGACGACGGTCCTCACGGGCTCCGGCCAGTTGACGTTGGTGTTCCCGAAATTGAAATCGAAGAGCGTGATGCTTTGGCCCATGAGCCTGAAGGCTTAGGGCTTGGGGCGTCGAGTTTCGAGCTTAGGGGTTTAGAGTTTAGGGGTTTGGAGTTGAGGGTTAAGGGTTTAGGTTTTAGGGTTGAGGGTTAAGGGTTTAGGATGCTTCGGCCCATGCACCTGATGTAGCACTTCTGCCGGCCCCAGTTGATGCGGAAGCCCGTGGAGTCCACGCCCATGGAAGGCCATGAGGAGTCCGGGCAGCCGGCGCCAAAGTCCGTGAAGCCTCGCAGCCTGGGCTCAAGTTTAGGTTAAATACCATAGTTTAGGATTCCTTTAAGGGTTCTACAAGGATTCTAGGGTTCAGGGTCAGGGACGTTGATTTAAATTACCAAAATGAGGAAAAGCATATATACTATAGGTCCTTGTTATGGTTTTTATAAGAAAGTTATAGCCCTGAGCGGGAACCCAGCAGCAAGATGGTGACGGCCATTTCGACGGTATCAATGACCGTATTGGCTACGAAGGACACTTGGTCTGCAGCTGCCTCATAGGCATCGCCCAAAGCGTCACCGACCAAGCCTGTGCCATCCGTGACGGCACCGGCCACACCTCCGGCCACATCCGCAATGCCGCTTCCGACGTCCTCGAAGAATTTCGAGCTCACAACGGCATCCAAAGCCTCAGACTTCGACTTGGACTCCTGCTTCTGTCGAGCACTCCGTTCCAAGAGCGCTGCCTTTTCGCCCTCTGCTGCCTTGCCGGCCTTGCTGGCCTTGCTGGCCCTGGAGTCTTTGGAGTGCGGAGTGAGGTATTCGCGAGTCTGCCTCTGGTGATGATGCTTCTGGATCACCTTCTTGAAGACCCGGCTTGCCTGGCAGAACATGCGGCAACTCGAGCTTTCAGCTCTGCAGCAGAGCAACAGTAAGCCAAGCGTAGCGAGGCTGCCCCTGAGCCTCAATCCTAAACCCTGAGCCGCCAACCAAAAAAAACTAACTCCTAAACCTTATACTAATCCCCAGGTTCGGCCTATAAACCCTAAACCCTTAATAATAGACCCGAACTCCAAGACCCTTATACTAATTCCTAAATCCGGCCTAGAAACCCTAAACCCCTACACCCTGCCTCGAGCACTTGGGCTTTCTCCTTCGCCCTGCGCTCACGGAGGCTGGTGGTTGTGTTCGACGCGGTCGACGTGCCGCGGACCTCGGCCCTCAGTTCGTCGATCTCTGCCTCTAGCGCTTCTGCAGGGTTTAGGGTTTAGGGTTTAGGGTTCAAGGTTCAGGGTTTAGGGTTTTCACTGCGAGTGCGCGTTCGACCCCCTCCATGAAGTGGTTGGGGGTCGGCGCATGAGCTGCAATGCCCGCCCTCCCACCCAAATTTCAAACCTTGAACGGGTTTAGGGTTGTCTACCCCCCCAACCCCCGTATCAAGGGGGGCTTATATGGTTTGAAGAAAAATTTCTGCAACCTTGGAGCTGATAGACGAGTCAAGAGTTGTCGACCCCCCTACGCCGCTATCGAGGGGTGACAATATGGCTTGGCGAACCATTGTCTATAGCCAAGCGCTAGGAAAAGGCGACATTTCCCATGACGTGAGCCAAAACATGTGGCATCGGGACAGCAACAGTTATTCGGTGGGTTGGCCCTTCGGCCGTCTTTGCAAAGTTTCTCTTCGGGAAGCCCATTCAGCGACAGCGACTAAACAAATCATGGCCTTCTTTGCAGGCTTTTCCATACAAGGTCAGCAGAAGCACGGGATTTTCTATCATAAATTCTTTTCGTAAACTGTGCGTTTTAGTGAGGCTGGCTGGTGGCCCATCTCGGGGTCCCTTCCCTTTTCCAAGATATGGCCCGTACTAAACCCCCAAATTTTAGATGTGTGCCCCTACTAAACCATCCGAGTTCCGAGGCGGATCTGGAAATTAAGGACGGCTTTTGCCATGTTAAAGTCTGGGGAAAATCCCTCCTGTTCCAAGATGTGGCCCATTATTAAATCCACTCTTTCAGATGTGTGGCACTGGTCCATAACTGTAATTTCAACTCACCGGCCGAGTCCTTAATTTTAGTTCCCAAACCTTAATTTGGAGCCCCGGTCCTTAAGTTTTGGTCCTAAACCTTAATTTCAAAGTACCGGTCCTCAATTTTCGGTCCCGAACCTTTATTTTAAAGGCCACAGCCCTTAATTTTATGTCTCAAACCTTAATTTGCAGCCCCGGTCCTTTTTTTGGAGTCTCAAACCTTAATCTCAAAGCACCGGTCCTTGATTTAGGTCCCAAACCTTTATTGCCAAGGCCAAATCTTAATTTTAGGTCCCAGACCTTAATTTGGAGCCTCGGTCCTTAAGTTTTGGTCCCAAACCCACATTTCAAAAGCTAAGTCCTTAATTTTTGGGTTAATTTGGAGCCCCAGTCCTTAATTTTCGGTCCCAAACCTTAATTTTAAAGCGCCGGTCCTTAATTTTAAGTCCCAATTTAGCGCCCGAATCCTTTTTTTTAGGCTCCGGCCCTTAATTTTTTGCGGCCGAAAGGAGGATTTCAAGCGTGCTCGGCCTCATAGGGCGCTGAGTTTAGGCTTGTTATTATTATAGGGCACTGACAGAGGCGGCCTATTCGACTCAGCCGCGTGGACCTAAGGTCCAGGACCTCGGGGCAGGCCCTTTTCAGTGACCTCCCTCGGTCCGCAGGCTCCTTCCGGTCAGCCTGCTGCGACCGGCCCCATCGCTGCGGTAGGGGGCCGGTCTTAAGTTTAGGGTTCAGGGTTTTGGGTTGAGGTTTTGGGGTTTAGTCTTGAAGATTTTAGGGTCTTGGGCTTACACAACATCGCAGTGTTTTATAAAGCATGAAAGCCGATCTCTGCCTGCTGCTTGTGCAGCTGAGCTTGTTGCAGCTCAACCACCTCAGATGCCCGCGGCAAAAAACGATAAAAATCCCCTTGTAGGCCCTGTATCGCAAAAATGCGATATGCCCCAAGACCCTCGTCTAATCGTTCAGGAGATACTTCGCTCTCTTCGCTACTAGCAAACCGAGCGCCTGTCTCCATTTGCACACCCCTCACCCCTAAACCCAAAACCCTAAACCCCTAAAACCCTAAACCCGATACCCCTAAACTTCATCAGCGAGCCGCCGTCTCCATTTGGGCGACCTTCAGCAACAGAAACTCAAGGTTCGTGCCCAGGTCGCCGAAACCGTGGCGCCGCTGCCCGTCGCCTGGGCTCTTGTTGAGGAACTTACATTAAGTTACCGTGCTTTGGGATTCCTTTAGGGGTCCATAAGGGTTCTATGAGGTTTAAGGAGCCTACATTAAGTCTCCATATTTTGTGGCCCCTTTAAGGCCGTAAGGGTTTAGGGTTGAGGAACTTACCTTGAGTTACCAACATAGGGTTCCATGCTAGATCATGCGGTCTTCATGTTGTGGTAGCTTAAACTAACTTCCTTAGCAACAGCCCAGTCGCTCTGGTTGCTAGCGTTCTCCATGTCGCCCAAGCTGTCCACTTGCTTCAGAACATGTGCCAAGTTGCCAACCAAGATCTTCTCAAGGCTGTTGTTGGTTCCATTGGTGCCATTGGTGCTGTTTCCATGAGAGCCAGTGAGGTTCAATGGCAAATCCTCGGTGATCGACAACTGCGTCACCTGAGTCTCGGACTTCACGGCAAGCAAGGAGGGGGCTGCGACACAGTCTGCCGCAGCGGTCGTGATGGAAAGGAGCAGGCCAAGAAATGGCCAAGCGGTCTGCATGATGCAAAGTGAATGAAGGAAATTGCGAGGTCTCGAGCCAGCAGTTCCTGCGAAAATGAAAAGACGGTGAAGCCTGGTCGTGGAAGTTGTGGTGCCGTGCCATGCACCTGTCGCAACCTTCAACCTTGAGCGCTTAAATCTCTTGCGTGGCTGAAGTCTGAAGCCTCACCGCCGAAGTCACTCCATCGACAGCTCGCGAAGACTCGCCTGGAGGCATTGCTCGTTGCTGATTCGGCAGTTGTGGAAACTCTCCTTGGGCCACCTAAAACCTGTTGCTGGAAAACGCCATGGACGAGCCGTTAACTGACCTACACCCCAACAGCCACGATAGCCGTTGACCGGGCTCACAAGAATCTACTTGCATAGTGCGACAACTGCAGTACGACCGATTTACGTTACGTATGGTGCAAAATTGCAATCAGCGGTCATACATCGCCAGATCACAAGCCACCCTGACCCCGAACGTTTGGGGTGTAGGGTAGAATTGCTCGAGGGGGAACACCCCCGTTTGCAGGAGCCGATGAGTGCCAAACGGAACCTGAACCCCTGAGCCCTTAACAAGACTCCTGCCAGAGGCTCAACTCACACTCAAGCCTAAGCCATTTCATCCTGTCGGTTAACGTCGAATCCAATCCACATTTTTCGGCCACCTGAATGGAGCCTACGCACTGCTATCTCGACCGGCACGGGCTACTGTTGGCAATCAGCCGGAGCACCTAAACAGCTCGTGTCAAGCGCAGTCAAGGTTGCGCCGTCTAGGGAGCCCGGCAATTTGCGGGCCGGTCGCCTTCCGACCAGGATGACTCTTCTGAAGCCCACGGTATGATAGTACGAAAGCATAACGGCACAGTAGTATAATAGTGCTACATAGCACAATAGTACGGTAGTATACAGTGCCGGCTCTGTTTAAAAAAACACTGGCTAAGAAAACCAGTGCTTTGGATTTTCCAGATATATGCATTTTCACTGCCCCCCCTAACTAAGAAAATGAGTGCCCTCTGACGTCCGGACCCTATTTTCTTAACTGTGTGCTTGTCCGGGGCTCTGATTTTCTGATTTGGGGCCGCCCAGACCCCAATGCTCCAAATCCATCCGTTAATGAGGTTAAGAAAATGTACTCATTTTCTTAGCACCCTTTTCCACATGGATTTGCCCCCCCCCC